ATTTCAAAACAAAAAGTTTTAGCCTGGCCGGTGTGGCTCAGTGGTTGTGTTGACCCATGAATCAGAAGGTCACAGTTTGATTCCAGGTCAGAACACATGCCTGGGTTTCAGGCTTGATCCCCAGCAAGGGGCCTGCAGGAGGCAGCCGATCAATGATTCTCTCGTTGATGTTTCTATCTCTCTCTCTCTCCTTTTCCCTTCCTCTCTCTGAAAGAAAAATATTAAATAATTAATAATAATAAAGTTTTTTAAGTTTTTTTTTTTTTTTAAATGCACCCTGCCAACCAAAGGTTATTTTTTTTTTAGGGGATAAGGGATTGAGGCAGATAACGACTTAAGTAAACCCTTCCTAACTGCTCCACCTCTAGCTTCTTACCATTTCAATAAACTTTATTCTAAAGTTTATGTCCTTTCTTAAGGATTTTATGTCCCTTGTTAAAGCCGTTTTAAGGTTGTTATCCTGACATTTTCAGGACTGAAAACAAAATGGAAAACATGATCCTGTGTTTATACAAAATCCTGCTTAAAGTTTTTGGCAGGTCCTCAAAAGGTTCAACACGGAATAACCACATGACCCAGCACTACTCCTCCTAGCTATATACTCAAAATTATTAAAAACACATGTCAACACAGAAACTCCTACACAAATGTTCATAGCAGCATTAGTCGTAATTACCCCACAGTGGAAACAGCCCAAATAGTCACAAACTAGAAGGTGGTCCAGTGGAATATTAGTTGGGCATAAAAATGAATGAAGCCCAATATGTGCTATGACATGGATGACTCTTGGAAATATTTTACTAAGGGAAAGATACCAGACATCAAAGACCACATATTATCTGATTAAAATCAAACATCCAAAATAAGTAAACCACAGAGTCAGAAAATAAATCAGTAGTCATCTGAGACTGAACTGGCGGGGAAGGTGGGGAGGGTGAAGAGAAGGAGTGACTGCTAACGGGCACAGGGTTTCTTTCTGGAGTGATGAGAATGTTCCAAAATTCGGCTGCATTGTTGACTGCACAGCTATGTAACTATACTACATACCACTAAGTTGTACACTTTAACATAGTGAATTATATCTCAATTAAACAAGAAAATACAAACAAAACAAAAAGTCCTGCCTAAACTAGAGGGAAATGTTTTTTGTCTTTTTCCCCCGGGTTTATCCTGGAACAATAATTTTGCCTTGGCAAAGTCTCTCCTCGTATGTTGAGGCTTGTCCGTGGCTGACCTCTGATTGGCGAAGTGTTACATATCACTCAGCAATCTTCTCTTAGAAAGTGTAGGGGAGCAGGCAAGGCAGGAGACCCAGCATCGCTCAACAAGCACAAGGGAGGAGCAAACCGCTGGGCAGCTGCACGCCTTCCCCAGAGTCACCTTCCCCAGAGTCAGGGTCGCTGCTTTGAGATCAGTGTGCACTGGGTAAACAGAAGATGTTGCTAACTGCAACGTACCATTTTCTCCTTACCCCAAATAAATAAACATCAAAGACCACATATTATTGGGTTTGCCTGTACATCTCTTTAAATATTATACATCCGGGGATTGCCTGTACATCTCTTTAAATATTAACATTTTCAAAATGTTAAGGGGCATCACTGGCTTCAAGTGTTTCTATATTTGAGAAACATATTTACAAGGTCCTGGACCTTTAAAAATTCATATTTTCATGAGCTCTTAGCCTTCATCTCTACAGACCGAAACATCCTCACGATTTGGGTGTCTTCATGGGGCAGCCTGTCCCTCCATTACCTTGACCTCTGGGCAGTGGGCCCTCCATCAGTACATGCCTGGGTTTCAGGACCAGCGCTACACACAAGACCAGAGCTACATACAGCACATGCAACACTATTGTGTATGAACACAAGGTCATATTTTCCATTTTATTTACAATATCAGAAACTGCATCATAATGCTTAGCAGGAGACGTGACTAGACCAAAGAAAGCAAAATTTTTTTATTAAACTGAGCATCCATTGAACTTCATGCATAAATAAGTATTGTGCATAAAATTAATGCTAAGGGAACTTCAAGAAACTGCCAGCACTCTCATCACTTCTTTAACTCCTCTTTGGGAGAGTTAAACGCCAGGTGATAAGTCAAACCAAACCACAATTTCTTCACCTTATAGTCACACCTTAATTCTAATTTTTAAAAATGGCATTAAAACTGTGACATCTCTGGCTTTGTGTGGCCGGCAACTCTGTCTTAAAGCAACCCCTAAGAATAAGAATTTGCCACCAAGCGAATTTCTTGCGGAGAGTAAATCTAGATGAGGAGCTGTCAAACTATTAAAAAAAAAAACAAACCCTTAGTGATGACCCTAAAACCATAACCTTTTTTGGAGGCATTAATTTTGATCCTTGTTTTCAAAGATTATTGAGTAAAAACTATACTCAATTATAACTTCACTAGAGGCCCGGTGCATGGATTCGTGCAGGGTGGGGTCCGCTGGCCTGCCTCAATGGGGGCCAATTGGGCCAGGCCAGCCCAGGGGGAGGAGATACAGGCTGTTGGCCGGCTGGCCCAGCCCCCTGGTCAAATTCTCAGTCGAGGGGAAAATCTGCATATTAACCTTTATTATATAGAAAATTTGCATATTAACCTTTATTATATAAAATTTGCATATTAACCTTTATTATATAGAAAAAATATGAACACATAAATAAAGACAGAGGATCTAGTAAAAGGAAAAATAATATTGTGTAAAGTGGATCTTCCAAAAATTTCCTTTGAGTTACTGTTAGACCGTTACTACAGTAAAAAAGGAAGATGCATCGTTCACCTTAATTGATAACCACTCTCATCCTACACAATGTTCCAATACCTCAAGAGTCCACCACAACTCCCACATCCCTTCTAGGTCAAGGCCCCTGACCTTGAGCCTGTCTGCACACAAGGATGTGAGTTACTTTTCCCAGGGCGAACGTCACCAAACATCCGCCCACACAACAGCTCAGCTGACTTTTCTACCCACTCACACAGCTTTGTAAGGCCCCTTCCTTCTCTCCCTCCTCTTCGTGTCTCCTAGAGCAAAAAGGCTACGTGTCGCTTAGTGTGAGATGACTTACAAAAATAGCAACTTCAGCTAATCCCAGCACTAATCCCCGGGCCGTCATGGTCTGTGCCTCTATCCGGCAGGGCCACTTGCATCCTTGTTTGAATCCTTATGTCTAAGATAGCTCAATAGACAAACAAAACATTTCTCAAATACACAATGACTCAGGGCTCTCTCTAATGAAAACAAGAAGCAGGTGGCGTGCTTCCGACGTGTGGAGCCCTGCTAAACCCTTTCCTGAGACGCTGAGGATCCCTACCCAAAACTTTATCTGGCTGGGATTCTAGAATTTACGCCTGTGGCCACTACTCTTTGAAAATAACAATGTTAACTTTTTAAAGTGCATTTATACAAAAAGCCCCATTTAAGCCTCTGAATGCAGCTGAGGAATGAAGGTGAGGACGACCCTGAGAATGTGAAGGGTGGGGTAACCTGCCCGGGGCCTCTGAGCGAGGGTCAAGGCCAGAGCTAGACCCTAGACGGCCCACCAGGTCCATGACCTTTCACTGTGCCAAGCTGCCCTGGCATCTAACTAAGCCACCTAGAAACAGTGGCTGCCACGGGTTTCCTAGACAATGACACAGAAGACAAGGCTACAAATCATTGGAATTGGGGGGAAAGTTATCTTCTCTCAACAAAGTAATACTTCCTAATTGAGCCACCTGCACATCCACCTTCTGACACCCGAGGACTCTGGTATGTGGATACTGGGTAACAGAAGTGGTGAACGAGAAACAACTGTGAGCTCTGCCGTCAGAGAGGCCTGGGACCGAGTCCCACCGGGAGAGCCTGAACAGGCTACTCCTCACCCACAAAGCGATGCTACCTACCTTGGGGCAGGCCGTGTTCAGCACAGAGCTGCTGTGCCCCTCTGTTAGTTTCTTTACATCACAATGAACTCAAGGGCCTGCAGAGTCTCCAGGGTCATCAAACAACCATTCTTACTCTAAACGTGTGTCCCTTCAGAATGCCATGGACTCACATGGAATTTGCGGGCAGGAAAAAAGCGCTTTTCCAGGGAATTAGCACTTGCCCTGAAACCTGCATTAACTACATCCTCCCATAAAATAAAATAAAAAAACAAACAAACAAACAAAAAAACAACATTAGCCGGAACCAGTTTGGCTCAGTGGATAGAGCATCAGCCTGCAGACTGAAAGGTCCCAGGTTCGATTCCCGTCAAGGGCATGTACCTTGGTTGCAGACACATCTCCAGCAGGGGGTATGCAGGAGGCAGCTGATTGATGTTTCTTTCTCATCAATGTTTCTAACTATCTCTCTCCCTTCCTCTCTGTAGAAAATCAATAAAATATGTCTAAAAAAACATTATTCATAATAGCTAAAGCCCATGTGTCCATCGATGACTGAATAAGTAAGCAAAATACAATATATACATATAATGGAATATAACCCAGCCTTAAGGAGGAAGAAAATTCTGACATCCTACAGCATCGAGGAGCCCTGAGGACATGATAAGTGAAGTAAGTCAGACACAGAAGGAAAAATACTGTATGAGTCCACTCATCTGAGGGACGTAGAGCAGTCAAACCCATGCAGACAGAAAGTGGGAGGTGCCTGCCAGAGGCTGGGGAAGAGGGAACGAGGAGCCATTATTTAATGGGTACTTAATGGGTTTCAGGTTGAGAAGATGCAATAAGTTCTGGAAACGGATCGTGGTGAGGATGGTACAACACTGTGAGTGTACTTAATGCCAATGAGCCACACGGTTAAAAACGGTTAAAGTGATGAATTTTATGTTACACCTATTTTACCACAGTTTTTAAAACAGGAAATATATCTGGTCCCTCCACGGGGCCTTGCACGCCGGTTTCTGGAGTCTGGGCCATGCCTTGCCTCCCCGCTCCCCTGGCTCTTGCCCTCAGCCTGCCCTGGCTCGTGTGTCCCCATCGCGAACGTGTCCCACCTCGAGGGCACTCACCAGGCCGCAGGTTCACGGCGATCTCCTGGGGCGTCATCTGAATGACGTCTGAGCCCGCGTAGCTGGAGCCCTTGCTGCTGAGAGGCAGGCTCCGCAGAACCTGGGTGACGCTGGCCGGGCTCTCAAACTCCCCTTCGCAGCCGTTTCTGACCAGGTTTGCCTTCAGGTCGCACCGGGAGGTGACCGTCCGCAGGCTGCCGAAGTTCTAGGCAAAGAAACAGGAGGAGAGCAGGAAGTAGTCAGGGGTCTCTCCAGAACACCTCAGGCTGTAGGACCATCACCGGCTGGCTGACCTTGAACCCTCTACATTCCACCTTCATCGGCTGAAAATGGAGACATGACCATCCCTATCCCAAATGCCTCACCAGGGGTTAAGAGGATTGAGGGGCTGGCGATGAAAGCATTTTGTAAGCTGTAAATACATAATACAAATGTTTGGTTTCGCGGTTATTTTAACGGACAAAGGGCTCCTTTAAAAATGCGCCTGTCTACATGATGAGGGGGAGAGAGCCACTGAAATGGCCCAAAGTTGTGAAACTATAATTTTAGGAAAGATGTACGTGTCCACGTTGGTCATCACTCAGGCAACCAAGTTAACCTCTGAGCTGTCCACTCATCGATCCCGCCTATTCCGCAGCGTGTGACAGTGGGCAACATGGAGACAGCAATGTCGCAATATATACTGTGTCCTCTGGCCTAGAAATTCCTCTCCTAGGAATTCACCACAGAAGCTAATCAAGAGGGAGGGGAAACTCTATCAGATATGGACTGCTGTCATTTAGAACAGCACAATCTCATTAATGTGTAAACCGAAATCCCTGAACCGTAAGAAAAATACAGGTCCTCGGGCTCCATCGGAAATCTGTTATGATTTTCGCCGTAAGTCAGAACCCACCTTCATAAGCACCTACGTCCCTCACACGGAGCACTGACACAGCAGGAATGAAGTGAGGCGGTAAAAAAAAATTCAAAAGCTAGCAATTCCTTACCTTTACTTGTGGTAAATAAGTAATAAAAAACATAAAGCACATATGCACACATGTCAAATCGACGGAACTTTTTTTTTTAGGTAAACGGGCGGTGGCGACATAACCACGAAACGACGTACGAGTCCCACATAACCCGAGGACTGTGTGTATATCAACTTAATAGATGACAGTCATTATCAATGATTATGAAGACTAAGTAGAAATTTCAAAACATTCATACTAGTAAAAAAAAAATCAGAAAATATCATTGTATCTGCACTAGGATTCAAAAGAAAAACTTTAAAATGAAGATAGCTGAGGTATTAGGATAAACTACCCCGAACTGTCCTTTATTGCTGTTTGGACAACAAAGCCACATTGATGAGAAAAATATTCCTTAAGATGAACAGAGGAGAAGGGGCCATCAGGACAGCCCAACCCAAGGTGGGCACCAAGCACCTGGGCTGTTAACGTTAGCAGGAAATAATAAACTTTGTTTTACTATATGGTGACCGTACGTGTGGCTCCTTTCCCAGGAATGACGTTTTTAAATGGCAAAGCAAGCCCAGGGCTCTTGCTGAACGCCCTTCCGCTGACAGACGCGAGGACGAAGGTCACCTCCCGCTGGCCAGCTCCTGGAGAGGCTGGAGAGGCAGCGCCCTGACCCGCCTCCCGGGGGCTCTGACAGGAGCCTCTGTGGGTGGAGTGTCCCTTGCCTGCTGTGTGGGGAGCCAGGCTGCTGGCAGAGGCTCCCGCCATCCTGGTCAAGGATGTCCTGAGGCTAGTCTAAGTCTGTGAGTCTTTGCGAGATTCAAAACCAAGAAGAAAGACTGTGTAGTATTTTTTAAATAAGTAAGACCAGATGTGTTGTTCTGGGCTTATGAGTTTTCTTGTTTTGTGAGTGTGTGTGTGTGTGTGTGTGTGTGTGTGTGTGTGTGTTTCCAAGTGGACTCTTTAATTTTCTGTATCAAACCCTGGGAGGTCTTGCCTATGAAAACCTCAGGGACTGCGCCGTAGATATAACCGCCTCCACAGCCCCTTGTGGAACAGGATGAGAGGCATGAGTACTCTAGCTTAAAATGATTACCCTTTAAATTTTATGATTCCATGCCAGGGTTTTCAAACCTGGGCTCCAGCGGGCAGGTGTGGCTCTGGTGTAGCAATTCTAATGAAGCAGTACAGCAGCCAGGCCCGGGGGAAGGGGAGTCCGCCTCAGAGGGCCCCCGCATCGACCGGTCTGCCTCGGGCGCTGCCCGAAGCAGAGGTGTAACCCGCTGCCAGAGCGGGACGGGCTCAGGGCCTGCCTGCTCAGAGCTTACCCAGCTAGTCGCCACCTGGTGCTCCGAGAGGTCCTAAAGGTTGGCAGCCACTGGGCTGGGGTTTCTGAACTCCTGGCTGACACATGGGGCCTTGCTGCCAGGCCTCCAATGCAGAGGAGCCGGTTATCCTTGGCCCAGTTCTGATTGTCAAGGTGCACCCGCCTCGACCAGTCCCACAGATCCCTGCCATCAGGTTGGCCAGGAGAGCATCTTCAGTCTCCCCAGAGGGACAGGAACCCCCGCTGTCCCTCCCAGGGCCTCAGCAGTTTGCACTGTGGAGCAGACGAGGCCACAGAGCCGATCTGCTTCACTCCAATCTGCGTGACTCCTCACTCCCAGCCTCAGCCTTTCGCATTCAGGCTGGTCTCCGAGATCGTCCCCGATGGCCCGGACCTTCCCGGCCAGCCTGCTCAAAGGGCTTTCAGTAGACACCACCAGCCCTTGACGGAGGGCTTGTCCAAGGCCGCCTCCTGGCCAGGAAAATCGACCTGCCGACGTCACCAGGAAACTCAAAGTCCAGGGCAGACCTCCCACACCTGAAGATCTCAGAGGCAGCCACACCCGTGCCAGTTACCACCTTATCTGTGGAGCTGGCTTTCCCAGCTGCACTCTGGGCCTCTTGTCTCTAGGATATTAGGAGCAAAGCCTCTTCACGCCCTCAGTGCTAGCGTTTCCCCTCTTTCTCCTTCGCATCATTCTTCAAGGCTGTGGTAAAGCCTCAGCTCTGCGTGCCTGGCTTCCCCGAAGTGTGCTGCCAGCACGGAGGACCGTGAACTCCGGCCTCGCCGCCTGGTTCCCGGCATGAGAACTACCACTGACCAATCTGCAACTTGCAGGATGACTTCAGAAGTGCCAGCCGAGGCAGCCATGGTCAGTCCAGCAGCCGCTTTCCCAGCAGCTCCGGCGTTAGGACAGGAAGAGACATCTCTCACGGCACCCGCGCCCAGGTTAGAGTTAGTCTCAATGCCCTTCACCTCTATCATCGGTTTGTCAAAATCCTAGTTCACAAAGTTCAGTGTTTTGCTCCTCGGGGCAGGCCCAGAGGTTTTACTGATGTGCTCAACAGCCTTTGAGACATCCTTACGTACATATCAAACCTTCCAGAGCTTTGGGGCCTCAAGGACACCCCCTGGGCATGGCAGGTCAGAGGAACCCTGTGAGGGTAAGGCAGCTACCTTAACAGTGGGGTTCCCGCCGCAGTTGAAGGTCCCTGTGCCATGGAGTCTGACTTCTAGCCTTAGGTTCTCACTGCTTAAGTAAAACACAGAGAGTGCTGCTGACTCCAGACCATGTTCACCCCACAAGCCCAATAACTTCTCCTCTCCTCCCCTAAGCTCCTTTCTAGTTCACTTGAGGGCTAGCTTTCCCAGCTGCACTGTGGGCCTCTTTATTCTCTAAGATGTTAGGAGCAAAGCCTCCATCCCTAGTGGGGGTCGTTAAAGAGAAGAAACCAAGACCACAGAGGTAAGGAGCATATACTGCGATGGTTATGACCTTTCAGATACACACACATTATAAAGACAGCGTCTCAATACTTGCAATGCCAAGCTTCAAATTCACTGAGAGCAGATGCCCCCATGGTAAACCTTTGGAGAAAGGAAGGCGTGCCGAAGAAAATCCTCTCACACGAGTGACATCCCAACGTGCTGAGAGCCTTTCTATCCCAGCCACCTGGCACCTGGACCCTCCACCGGGTGGGGACACAGCACGTCCCAAGGGAAGGGGACCATGAAGCCAGCCCCTCACTTCTGCGGGTGGAGAGTCAGAGGCCCCCTGTGCCTGAGCCCACGCCTACGTTTACCCGAGAAGTCTGGATTCGCGTGGCCTCAGCTTCTTGGACCAGCGTCCAGCATTGTTTGTGTCATCACCCTCTCATCTCAGCCAAGGCCACCGCTGAATGCCACAGCAGAAAACTGGCACACAGATTCCATGCCACTGCATTTAGTATCTCCTTGCTGCCCCAGATGCAGGGAGCTTCCTGCCTCCTATCACACTTGGAGGATAAATGTCCTCTTTGTGCAGAAAAATGAGTATGGAAGGTGGGAGGGGGGAACTTTATCTCAACACAGAAAACAGGAAACTAGCCCCAGCTGGTATGGCTAAGTAGATGGAGCACCAGCCTGCGGATTGAAGGGTCCCAGGTTCGATTCTGGTCAAAGCACATGCCTAGGTTGCAGTGAGGGCATGCAGGAGGCACCTGACTGATGATGTTTCTCTCTCCTCTTCTCTGAAATTGATGAAAAAAATATTTTTTTTTTAAAAAGAGAATAAAATTGGAAACTAGCTTCAGGATGGGCCTCTGATGGGCTCAATGGCTTGCACGTGCTCCGTGCTGGAGAGGTTTCCGTTCATGAAGGAACCTCTGTCCATGGCCTCCAGAACCTCGTCACCAGCTCCCCAACGGCCTCATACAGGGTAACCGCATTACAGGCTGAGAGAAGCGACAGAATGGGAACAGGCACTCGGAACATCTTTCGTGGCTTTCCGTCTCTATCTGGTAACAACAAAAAAGAAAAGGGAGGTGCTCCAGATTTAGATCCTTTTAATTTGCTACAACACTGGCCTCTGCGCCTTGTTATAACCCGCCCCTCTCCATTCCCTCCATCTCCCGATACCGGAGCACATAATGAGGCTCACTGTGTATTGTAACTCTGTAACACCTGACGCCCTGTACACTCTGTTAATCAAATCTCTCTTCCTGCAGGCAAGGCCAGGGCCCAGCTGGCTCTGAGCACAGCCGTCTGGCATCGCAGCCAGCGCATTTTGGCCAGTGCACTCAGGGCCGTCTCCCTGTGCCACACCAGTCATTACATTTATCTAGACCACCCTGCCTACTCCTGCTAAAGGCTAAGATGCTAAAGAGATGTGGGTGGCTGAAATCAGTTTGGCTCAATGGATAGAGCGTCGGCCTGCAGACTGAATGGTCCCGGGTTCGATTCCGGTCAAGGGCATGTACCTTGGTTGCGGGCACATCTCCAACTGGGGGTGTGCAGGAGGCAGCTGATTGATGCTTCTTTCTCATTGATATTTCTAACTATCTTTCTCCCTCCCTCTCTGTAAAAAATCAATAAAATATATTTTTTTAAATTAAAGAGAGAGAGAGAGAGAGAGAGAGAGAGAGAGAGAGAGGTGGGTGGTTGTTCGTGGGGAGGACAGATTTTTTTTGAAACTGCAGATCCTGGAAGAAGAGGCATCCAGCCGGAAGTAGGCATCCAGGCCAATCCCTGGGACGATGAGGGAAGAAGGAAACTGGTGAGGAGGCAGAGAGCCGGGCAGAGAAGTGGGCACAGGCGGGGAAGGCGGGGAGCTGGCTGTCCCCTGAGGCGGGCCTTCTCCTTTAGTATGACTGGGCCAGGCTCTCTGGCCTGCCATGGTGGCAGCCCTGGCTTGGCAGAGGCTCATGGGTTTAGGGGTGAGGGAGGAGAGAAGGTAAGTGATGCAACCCCAAATCTGTGCACCAGCCACGCACGACCTCGTGTGCTTCCTGTCTGGGGGTAGAGAAATCCCTCTGTCAGCTTCCAGTTGGCTGACTAAACGCACTGAACAAATATTTACAAAGCATCTGCAACAGGCCAAGATCATCCCTTTCATGACCACAAAGAGATGTTCTCTCAAAGAATCTATATTTTAGTGGTGAGCTGGAGCAAATGCTCTTTTTCTTTTTTTCATGTTTTCCTAGCTCAGAGGAAACACTGGTCATGTCTCCTCAACATTCCCTGCCACCATCATTTCCCAGAAGGTCCAGTCAGCCCGCCTTGCCTTCCAGCTCTAACCCATCTCCTCCCTCACATTCCTGCCTCCAGTCCTACCGACTCCTTCATTTCTTCGTTTCCACATCCACTTCCAAGGCAGACTCTTCCCACGTCTATTTCCACCCAGCCCCAATCACAGGCCTCCCGGGTCCTCCGTTTCCCAGCTGCTCAACAGCCTGCACTGCCCACGGCCACGCCACCTCAATGCGGTCTCCCTTCTTCCCCCAGCCCAGCCCTGAGCTCCTCTCCTTGCCTGCCTTTGCCTCCTCTGCTGCTCCCACCAGCTGTGCTTTCTGTCCCACAGGGACCCTGGGTCCCTCGGTCCTGCCACTTCTCCTCACCCGCTGCTCTCTTGCAGGGCTGGTCCACAAAACCCCTCCTCTTGTCCGGAGCACACAGCTACATAATGTCTCCAGTTCTCGTTGCTCTGGGGCGTAGTGATGCGATGGGGTTTTAGACCGGAAATGTGGTGGGAGAATGTGGGCTGCCCGAGGGCTGCCCGAGGGCTGCCCGAAAGCACCAGCACACGTTCCCAGCACGTTCCTCTGGGGGCTGGCTGGGCTGTGACACAGCTTCGGAGGAGAGGCGGATTTCCACTTTGAAATAATGAAGGACGACCCTGGCTAGTTTGGCTCAGTGGATGGAGCATCAGCCTGCGGACCAAAGGGTGCTGATTAGATTCCAGTCAAGGCCACGTGCCTCGGTTGCAGGCTTCTCCCGGGCCTGGGCCCTGGTTGGGGCTCATACAGGAGGCAACCAATTGATGTGTGTCTCTCTCTGTCTTTGACTCTCTCTTCCAGTCTCTCTAAAAATCAATTAAAAAAAATCCTTGGGTAAGGATTTTTTTTTTTAAAGGACAAAATAGATAGTATACAGCTCAGTTTGCTGTGTTTATTATTTACTTACTTTTTATTTACTTATTTACTTATTTTAATCCTCACTAGAGGTTATTTTCCCATTCATGTTTAGAGAAAGTGGAAGGGAAGGAGAAGGAGGACAGAGGAGGAGAGAAATGTGAGACTGAGGGTGGGCGAGAACCTGCAACCACCACGTACCCTTGATCAGGAATCAAACCCATGACCCGTCCATCCTCAGGCCAATGCTCTAACCATTAAGCAACTGGCTAGGGCTGCTGCGTGCTTTATGTTGTGCAGCACATATCACATAAGTGTTCGGGCTGGCTGTGCAGCAGGGGCCAAGGGGCCACGAAGGACAGGGGACAGGGGCTGCGGTGTGCAGTGCAGGCAGGCGAGGACAGGCAGCCCCTACACACCCTCGTCTCCGATGGGACATCTGGCAACGGTGGTCTTAGAGCCCAAGAGTAAGTCTGAGGCCGCCAGGTAAACCATGTTAGGAGACACACACAAGCAGCCCGCAGATCAGAAGCCACAAGAACACACTGGTTAGGGACCTGGCCCTCCATATTTCCACCCAGCCCTCAATACACACACATCATACGCTCTTGGCAGATACGGTACTTCTCCCATGATGTCCCAGGTTAAGAAGGCACCAGCCACATTCATTCTGTCTTACTCAGGGGCAGGGACTGATCAAAGCCACTCCTGAACTCCAGGCCCAGCGCTCTGAAACACATTCAGGCCCTGGAAAAGCTACCTTCCGAAGACGGTGCCTCCCATGCAGGCCTCATGGGAAGTTAGTTCTGCAGCCAAGAAGGGGCCCTGTCTAAGCATAGAGCGAGCCCAGGGGTAGAGAGGAACCCAAATGTGGGCTGGGACAATGACATGCTCCTCAGATAATGGCATTCGGTGTCGTTATCGGGACGTCACAAATACTAACCCAAGGAAGGAAGAACCTAAAGAAGACAAATGACCCCAGGGTCTGGATCCCACTGCCCACATTTCACTCGAAAATACTCATCGGTGACAGCAGTTTGCTGGACAACTCTCACTCATCACTCAGGAGGCTGGGTTAGACAGCAGCCCAGCCACAAGCCCCCCTCACGCACTGATCTTCGTTTTATACTCCCAGTAACGCTGGAGGGTGGGAAATACCTTATTCATTTTACATACAAGGAACTGAGAATAAATCATGGCAAAACTGTATTTAATCTTTGATTTTTTTTTTTTTTAACTCCATGTCTTTTTAGCAGGCCTCTTTAATCAAAGGTGAATTCCTGCCAGACCCTTGGCTGAATCTGGGGATGCTAAGATGAGTAAGACATGGTTTAGGTTCTCAAGGAGATGATGACGTAGTTGATGACAGGCATGAGAACAAATGACAGAATAAGAATCGTCTGGAAGTGTTATTGAAGGAGTAGAGTATGGCAGACAAAGACGTGACCATGGCCTGCACAGGCACTCACAATAAATAGCCATTTAATGAACTCCTTCGGTCAATATTTATTGAGCAACTACTATGTGTCAGGTACACTTGGACTTGTCCTGCAGGTCATAGGGAACCAGAGAAAGGCTTTAAAGAACATTCATAACAAAGCCACAAATTAAACACATACCAATGAGGGTTTTACACATTGCAAAGATTCCATTCTCAAAGTACTTGTGCTATAATCTTACTACTAATTCTCTACTAGGAAAAAATTCTAAAGCAGTCACACGATGGAGGCAGTGTAGACCAAGCTGGTTTTGCTCAGTGGCTAGAGCGTCAGCCTGTGGACTGAAGAGTCCCAGATTCGATTCAGGGCGAGGGCATAAGCCCCGGTTGCGGACTCAAACCCCAATGGGGGGCATGCAGGAGGCAGCTGATCAATGATTCGCTTTCATCACTGATGTTTCTATCACCCTTCTCCCTCTTCCTTCCTTCCTGAAATGAATAAAAAATATGTTTTTTTTAAAAAGAGGCGGTGTGGCCTACAGGAAAGAACTGGGTTCAGAAATCCAAGAAGCCAGACTCAAACCCCAGCTCTGGAACATCATGTGGCCTCTGAGCCTCAGCTTTTCATCAATAAAATGGGTATATCACCCCCCACCACCACCACCACCACCACCACCCTGACAGAGCTGTTGTTGTGATTCCAGATACTGTGTTCAGAGTGTGTGGCATCTAGAGGGGACGCCCTGTGATCCTTTTCAGCCATCACAGGCTGAAGAACTCCCTGGACCTCTGAGGCTGCATCAGGGCAAAGGGCACGGCCTCCCCAACGGGCACCTCACACTAAACTGCAGAGGCTGAGCCGGTCTGAACGAAACGTTTTCAGTTCTTTCAAATCATGCACTTGTGCACGCAGGGCTTATGCCCATGGTTCTCACGACAGTTTAGAAAACAGACCCGGCGTTTTCCTTTAGAAACAGATCCCTGCCCAATGAGCCCATCAACCCTGATACAGCCATTGCTTTAGGATGGCAATCTGCTCAAACTGACTCCTTCCTACAGGCCGGAAGTGGTTCTCAACCTTACTAATGCCTGACCCTTTAATACAGCTCCTCATGTTGTGGCCACCCCCAACCATACAATTATTTTCACTGTTACTTCATAACTGTAAATTCTGCTACTGTTAATGAATCGTCATGTAAATATCTGTGTTTTCCGATGGTCTTAGGCTCTACAGCAGCGGTTTGTCTTGAGATCATCGGAAAACACAGATATTTAAGACCATGGAAAAACACAGAACTGTATTAAAGGGTCGAGGCACTAGAAAGGTTGAGAACCACTGCTATAGGGTTTGAAGAAGCAGCAGCTGTTCTTTTTCAGTAAAATCATTCCACGAAGGCCAGTTCATGATATTCAAGTCATCTTCCAATAAGGCACATCACGACGAGCAGCACCCACCAGCCTGTCCCCCAGCCAGGCATGTTTTGAAATACACTTGCTTCACAAGCTCAGGTCTCTGACTACAGGAAAAAACTATACAAGACTCTTGTACGGGTTCCCCCACACAAGGAGAGAAAGGCCTTATTTCCCTAAAACAGGATTAAAACAGTCAACACTCTATCTAGAGACCCAATGTTAGAAAAATGCCACTTTTCTCTGCTCCTTGCCCTGGGAAAAATCCGGCACTCACTTTTTCCCCCTCCAATCAACTTGTGTGCCGTGACCTCCTGCTGACCCCCAGAGCATTTCCTCCCTTCTTCCTTCCCCCCCCCCCAACTTCCCTCCTCCCCACATCGACCCCCACTTCCCTGGCCCACATACCTCTTTGGAGCACCAGGCACATTTGGGGTGGATTAGCAGGCATTCTTCACAAGAGGTGGCACTTCCGCGAGTGCATTCATTGAGACCTTCAAAGCAAGAACAAGATGCACCAATCAGTCCCTGGCCATAATCGGCCACAATCCCTACAGATGAGGCCTTTGAAGGGGCCAGAGGAGTCCCTTCCTTTACGAAGGGGAGAGCCTGGGTGAGGCTGCAGGGAGCAGCCCCAGTGCTCACTGCGGGCTAAGGCTCATGGGCTAAAGCCAAACCCTGGGGTTTTGAAGCGCCCACCAAAAGCATGCACATCCGTGTGAGCAACTCCCATTTCTTCTGCTGGACACACTTGGATTTCCACCCCCTCCCCACAACACAGCAGGTTACACATAACATAACATAACATAACAAACATTACATAACATATTAGGCCCCTCTATACTTTCAACCAAAATGGCCCCAAAAAAATTACAAAAAAAAGAAATGAAAAGAACACATCAGTCTCCGTCAGGCATAAGAAATTAAAATCCTGTATCGGTGGCACCACACGGAATCCACAGTGCACCAAAAGAAGCCACCACAGCCCTTAACGAAGAGTGTAGCCCAGGAACACAATGCTGGGTTAGGATCGAGGAAATCCATGAATCTACTACTGGGTCAAATAAAACAAGCCATATCACCTCAGGTAATGAAAAGGCATTTGATCAAATTCAAAACCCATTCTCCCCCCCCCCCCCACACACACACACAAAGATCAGAAACTAAGATTATTAATAGAAGGAAATTTCTTTATTGTTGTAAAGTTACTTATTTCAAACCCAGGCCATCTCCCCCCCACCCCCCCATGGTGTTGAGTTTAAATCCATTGTTCCCTCCGCACCCTCCATCCCACCCATCCCCCCCTCACAGCAACACGAGTATCTGGGTATCCTGGTATCCGTGTGAAACTTCTCAGCCCTTTCTCTTCCTTCCTCTCTGAAACATCAGGCCAGATTTTTTTCTTGACCCAAAGCAGAACTTGATGGTTTTCTCTGAATGAAAATGATTCTACTTGGTCCTAACAGACCCACTGGTCTCTCCTGGTTGTGGCCTAGAGACCACGACAGACAGAATAAGGAAAACCCAGCCATAGGAAGAAGGGCTCAGAAAGTCAAAAAGTGGAAAAGGGGAGAGTGGGAGAGAAAATACAGGGAACTAGAGATAGTTCCCCATCTCCACTAAACACCAGAATATCTTTCATTACAAGGCATGTATAATAGAAGCTCGAGCATTTCCCTAATTTGCTCATTTTAACTCCCTGCTTCTCCTCTGTCACTAGAAGTAAAACCACACAGGAACTGGGTGACACAGGAAGCTACACTGGGTCTCCCCTGAGGGACACTGGAGGGATGGAAAGGTAGTTGGTATAGGCGGGAGGAGAAACAGGCAGGACCTGAGGTGCTGGGAAGAAAAGGTGACTTGATGTGAAAACAATGGTTTCCACCAGCCACAGACCCCAGCCCTGGGTCCCTGTCCTCCTGTCATCATCCTGTAGGGACCCCTGCCTCCCAGCCACGGAGCTGGCATTGCTCAGACACCACCTCCCTGCCTGTGCTGCGGCAGGGCCTCCTGGGTATAGCGCTGGACCAAGCGCACACTTATCGGGAGAGACAAGCTGGGACCTACCAGGGTGCACGAATTCATTTGAGCAGGGACCCCTCCAGGGTCCAAACACTGACCAAGAAAATAGACTCCTGTCTGCTTCCTGCTAACGGTGACTTTCAAATGGGCACTTTCGCCTTTAAGAAAGAGAAGGTGTATGGGATACACTTCAAAATGCCAGTTGCATTTTTTTTTTTTTTCGGTCCAATTCCCTTACCTGTCAGAAACCGCCACCTGAAGGGGAGGGAACAATCAAATCTAGAACGAAAGTGACTTTCCCCTGCTCGCCTCAGTTCGTCAAATACAAGCTCACGCCCTCGTGGCATTCCGCGTGCTTTGATGTATAAAACTTTGATGTATAAAACTAGTTGCCATCATGAACTACAGAACCTTGGAGCCAAAAATGTTTTAAGATGAAGGAGTCAAGTCGCCTCATTTGATGGACAAAAACATGAAAAACTAGAGGGACTTGGACCCAGGAGCCTAGTCTACAGGGAGAGGTCAGAAAGGATGCTGGCCACCAAGTGCCCATGTGGGGACCTGCCTGGTGGTCGGCACCCTCGCAGACCCCATGCCACGTGGCAGGGAGTGCCGGTGTCCACTGGAAGAGATCTCCAGCGGGCCTTCGGTCAAAAAGACACTTGAGATGGAGTATCTCACTTATGACTCTGCCCCAATCAACGTAAACTCACAAACGCCACTTTCTAATGACCAGGGCCTCATCGCTGAGCTCTGGGAATTTGGGGTGTGGGAGGACTCTGGTCTCAAGGGTCCTGGGTTCTAACTCAAATCAGACTGGGCTCTGGCCCTCTGCTTTGCCAGCCTAAGACCTTAGACATAACACGGAAGAGGCTCAAATGTGACAGACTGTATCTGTCATACTGCATTGCTAATTGTTTATAGTTTATTATTAACATTCACATGCAATCGTAAAATAGTTTTGCCGAAGCCGGTTTGGCTCAGTGGTAGAGTGTCAGTCTGCAGATTGAAAGGTCCCAGGTTCGATTCCGGTCAGGGGCATGTACCTTGGTTGCGGGCACATTCCCAGTGGGGGATGTGCAAGAGGCAGCTGGTCGATGTTTCTCTCTCATCAACATTTCTAGCTCTCTATCCCTCTCTCCTCCTCTCTGTAAAAAATCAATAAAATATATATATTTTTTTAAATCGTAAAGTAGTTTTATTGCACTTGAAATTATTCCCCTAGAACCATGGTCGGCTCGAGCCACGTGCGGCTCTTTGGCCGAATGTGGCTCTTCCATAGAATACACGGCCTGGGCAAGTCTCTTTTGAAGAAGTGGCGTTAGAAGAAGCCTAAGTTTTAAAAATTTGGCTCTCCAAAGAGATTTCAATCGTTGTGCTGTTGATATTTGGCTCTGTTGACTAATGAGTTTGCCAACCACTGGTCTAGAATTAGGTTGGAACAAAAAAGTTTAAAAAGACCTGCACTCAGCATGCCAAACAGGGGACCAGGGGACGCTGGAGGGACAGAGACGAGTGACCCGGGCCCTGCTCCCCAGGAGCTCACCGCCTGCCGGGTACCAGGCAGCAGACAGGGACACCAGGCACCGACGGCAAAGGCTGTGTGCTGATACCGGTCACGGTGCCCGCGTCACTCCCTCTGGCATCTCTCCCCTCTCCACCTATTAATGCTTCAGACAGTTTGGCTTTGGCTGGATGAGTCACTGGGCACCAAGAGCACTGCGAAAGGAAGGAAGCAATGAATAAAGAGCTAAACAGCCGGAGTTCACAGATGTCAGAGTGCTGAGTCTAGGTCACGGAAACGCGCTCAGACGAGGGCCACATCCTCCTTTAGTTGCCGTCCATGTGGTGACTATTCCCAGCTCAGCTTCAACCCTTCATGTCTCCGAGGCCCGGGGTTTACTGCAGACCAGAATCTAAAAATATGCTCTCCTTCCGAAACTCATTGACCCACCCCTCTCTTTCATCCATCAGGCGGCCACCACGTCCGGCTGATCATTCCTTCAAGAGGCATGAAATGTCTCTTTCTTCCAACCCAGCCCTTCCTGCCCGCCCCCTCCACCCCACACGGTCCAAGCCAGGCCCTCTGCGGATTCCTGCAGCAGCCTCCTGGCTGGCCTCCCTCCCTCCTGCCTCTCCCCAGCACACGGCCAAGGTCAACACCTCCTGAGGCACACATCCAGCAACTGAAGTTTCCTGATCCAAAATGTCCAGTGGGATAGCAGGAGTGAGCGCCGGGCTGGGCTGGCCCTACCGGCTGGGGAAGAGGAGAGCAACGCTCTTCAGGTGGGAGGTGGGAAAAGCGTGATGAGCAACGTGGCGTGTACGCTCTCCCTGGGGAGCACATGAACAGTAACAGACCATGACATTCGGAGCAGTGAATGTCTGTGCCACCACCTTCAAGACACAAGTGAGAAGCCAGGACAGAGAAATACAGTCCTGAATTACATTGTAGTCACTGTCTTCAAGCCAACAGAAAATAAAAACATTTCCTTATTCCTTTTTATTACTTCCTTTTTTATAAAAAATATATATATATATATATATATATATATACACACACATATATAATTTAATTGATTTCAGAGAGGAAGGGAGAGAGAGACAGGAATGTCAATGATGAGAATCATTGATGGGCTGCTTCCTACACGCCCCCTACTGGGGATGGAGCCCACAACCTGGGCATGTGCATGCCCCTGACCGGAATTGAACCTGGGACCCTTCAGTCCATAGGCCGACATTCTATCCACTGAGCCAAACCAGCCAACGCGCATTTCATTATTCTCGTTTAAAAAAGAAAAAAAGTTGGTAGGGTACTGGCATGCTTCTCCCTATGACCTGAACTACATCGGCCACATTTGTCCATACAGCAGATCAATTATTCCCGGTACGGAACCTAACAACTAAATGGACGTGGGAGGAAGAGGGATTTGAAAATGTTGCTATCTTTAATAATAAAAGGACAATATGCTGATTAGACTGGACGTACTTATGGATGATCTGGACGAAGCCTAGGCTGCGAGGGAAGCCTGGGTCCTGGGTGCCTGCAGGCGGCGGAAGGAAGCCTGAAGCCTGGGTCCCAAGTGCTAGAGGGAAGCCGGGGGAAAGCCTACTCTTGCCTGAATTTCGTGCATCAGGCCTCTAGTGAAATACTAGACTATGCTCTAGGAAGGATCACATTTTAGACTGCCTTTTTGAACATCAGACATCAGCAGAACACCCAACAATGTCAGCTTTAGAGATAAGAATTGTGTCTAGGTCACAATGGAATACTTTCCACTTTTTTTAAAAATATGCATGCTCCCTATATACTAACTAGAGGCCCGATGCATGAAATTCATGCAAGAGTAAGCCTTCCTACCCCCAGCGGCCGGCACCGGCTTTTCCGTCTGGCACCCGGGGCCCAGACTTCTCTCGCAGCCCCGGCTTCGTCTGGAAGGACGTCCGGAAGGATGTCTGGTCTAATTAGCAT